TGTGTGTGTGTGTGTGTGAAAATGACACAATTTGAAGCATACAAATTCAATTGACATATAGTGAGCCTATGCACTGCTATCAATTCTCACCGGCTTAAAAAGTCTAATATTCACACGTTTTATCATTTTGGAGTTATCTATATATATAGTAATATAGATAATAATAAGATCTCTCTTTTTTTTCTTTATTTTTCTTTATAAATTTACTTGAATTTGTAAATATTTTGATACTCCATCGTGTATGTAAATGTATATGTGCTATTTTGGATAGCATTTCATTCGTTTCATAGTAAAATCTACAATCCAATTTCACGTGGCTTATAAAGTACTGACGAATAAAAATTTACGGCGTTGAAATTTGTTTAAAATTGAAAATAAGGGAGCCCTGTAAGAAAGGATGAAAGATATGACCTGCTTTACACTGAATTTATTTAAAGATGAAATTATATAATGCAATTTTATGCGAGAACCAATGTGAAGTCTTTAATTTTTCTTTAGAATAAAAATGGTAAAATTAGTTAGAGAGATCAAATAAAGAAAAATTGGAATGGAAGAATGCGAGTGAAAACCATAGCATAATTTGAATAGATGAGGTGAGATGTAAAGTTTGGTTTAAATATAATTTTTTTATGGTATGATTGGGAGCATGGATTTGGATTTCAAATTCGGATTTGGTTCAAATTCTATATTTCGAAAAGTTTAAAATTTTGAATTTGGATTTGAGTCAAATTCTTATCATTCATAACAAATCTTAATTTAAAATCTATACATCTCCCCCTTGTCATTTGAAATTCAGAATTTTAAATTTTGGAATTGAAATGAAATGCTAGTTGCCAAATACTACCTTAATGAATCGCGTTCTAGGAGGCATTGTATTGTGGCTTGGCCACAAAGACGCATCACATCGTAGTGTCACTGTAGGCTAGTGTCAAAAGGTTAGAAGCAGGTTGAAGTTGAAAATGATTGCAAGGAGATTGTAGAAGCATTGAATAATCCTTGTAGTGATTGATATTATTTCCCTTGGCCTCTGCGATGTGATTTTTCATTTTCAATTTATGTCTTGCTCTGCCAATGGAGTGATTCTATGGTGGACTTAAGATTCACATTGACATTCTCACTTTTTTAAATTTTCAAAATGCTTATTTCAATATTTAAAAATGTTTATTTAACATATATATGAAGGTCCACCATAGATCTTAGGTGCATGTAATAATTTGTCATTTCAATGAGGCGGTGCATGTCTTGACATGAGCTTCTCATTCACCTCAAAGCACATGAGAATGGATTCCCC